GCCAGAGGTAGTCTGAGTCAAATTAGTGTACTTTCTGATGAACCAAGGTAGAGCCTGAATTAAATCTTGCCTCCAGTATACACCCTTGTTTTGAGAGCCTTCCTTCAAGTACAGTGAACATTTCTTTTTCTCTGTGGATTATTTTCAGCCTATGACTGTTGCTGGGCATCTCATAAATTATACAACTTCCCATATGTTTTCTCAAAATCTGGTTCACATACTGTAAGTAGCAATGTAAGAATAAAGCTCCCATGTCTGGAAGATAAGAGGTGACTTGCATGTGCATCCAAATAGATACATAGGCTTTGGAGGGGAAACCCCTAAGGCAGAAGTGAAGAGTGTGAGCCTCAATCATAGTACTTATGTTTTGGCATTCAGTATACCCGAATTTCTCAATTTTTAGATTGGCTAAATGGTGTCTAGCTTATTTTGGAAATGAATGAGCAATCTAAAGTATTGTGGTGAGGGGAGGGTTTGTTTCTTCCCATGCATCCCTTATAGTTTTAATATTAAGTGATATATTTACATCAGCTCTAAGTTGATATTAGTAAAAGACTAGACCCCGGGGCTTCTCAGAAGAGCCAAGGCTACTATCCTTGTATTGTCGAAGGCTTTCATGGCTGGAATCACTAGGTTCTTGTGGGTTTTTTCGGGCTATAGAGCCATGTTCTAGAGGCATTTCTCCTGACGTTTCGCCTGCATCTATGGCAAGCATCCTCAGAGGTAGTGAGGTCTGTTGGAATTAGGACAATGGGTTTATATATCTGTGGAATGGCTGGGGTGGGGCAAGGAGCTCTTCCCTGCTGCAGTTAGGTGTGAATGTTTAGCTGATCACCTTCATTAGCATTTGAAGGCCTGCCTGAGCCTGGGAAAATCTGTTGCTGGGAGGTGTTAATCTGTGCCTGGTTGTTTCCTCTCTGTTGTTTTGCTGTTATAATTTTGGAGTTTTTTAATACTGGTAGCCAGATTTTGTTCATTTACATGGTCTCTTCCTTTCTGTTGAAATTGTCCACATGCTTGTGGATTTCAATGGCTTCTCTGTGTAGTCTGACATGGTGGTTGTTGGTGTGGTCCAGCATTTCTGTGTTCTCAAATAATATGCTGTGTCCAGGCTGGTTCATCAGGTGCTCTGCTATGGCTGACTTCTCTGGTTGAAGTAGTCTGCAGTGCCTTCCATGTTCCTTGATGCGTGTCTGGGCGCTGCGTTTGGTGGTCCCTATGTAGACTTGTCCACAGCTGCATGGTATACGGTAGACTCCTGCAGAGGTGAGAGGATCCCTCTTGTCCTTTGCTGAATGTAGCATTTGTTGGATTTTCTTGGTGGGTTTGTAGATTGTTTGTATGTTGTGTTTCCTCATCAGCTTCCCTATGCGGTCAGTGGTTCCCTTGATGTATGGCAGGAACACTTTTCCTCTGGGTGGATCTTCATCTTTACTCTGCAGACTACTTCAACCAGAGAAGTCAGCCATAGCAGAGCACCTGATGAACCAGCCTGAACACAGCATATTATTTGAGAACACAGAAATGCTGGACCACACCAACAATCACCATGTCTGACTACGCAGAGAAGCCATTGAAATCCACAAGCATGTGGACAATTTCAACAGAAAGGAAGAGACCATGAAAATGAACAAAATCTGGCTACCAGTATTAAAAAACTCCAAAATTATAACAGCAAAACAACAGAGAGGAAACAACCAGGCACAGATTAACACCTCCCAGCAACAGATTTTCCCAGGCTCAGGCAGGCCTTCAAATGCTAATGAAGGTGATCAGCTAAACATTCACACCTAACTGCAGCAGGGAAGAGCTCCTTGCCCCACCCCAGCCATTCCACAGATATATAAACCCATTGTCCTAATTCCAACAGACCTCACTACCTCTGAGGATGCTTGCCATAGATGCAGGCGAAACGTCAGGAGAAATGCCTCTAGAACATGGCTCTATAGCCCGAAAAAACCCACAAGAACCTAGCTACTATCCTTCCCTTTGAAGGTCTTCTTTCAGGGAGTAGGCTTTGCTAAACATCACTGGTAAATTTATACCTGCAAAAATTTTCCATGGTTGCACTGGTTTTCCATTCTAACTCAACTGTTTGAGGGGGTTAGAATGGAAACTATTATTAGTTCCCACCTCTATCTTTTAGGCTGGATCTACACTGACATATAATCCAGTTCAAAATAGGTACTCTGGATTAAGAAACTGAATTATATGACAGTGTAGATGATGCTTTAGAGCAGACATCCCCAAACTTCGGCCCTCTAGCTGTTTGGGGCTCCAACTCCCAGAATCCCTAATGGGCTTGTTCAATTGTCAGGAATTCTGGGAATTGAAGGTCCAAACAGCTAGAGGGCCACAGTTTGAGGATGCCTGCTCTAGACAGAGGACTTGAGAGTCCTTGCCACTTGTTAACTAATTTTGAATCCTACCTGAGATCACCTTTATCAACATCTGATTAAACTAGACAAGCAACTTCAAGTCTCAAAGTTCTAGGCTATTTATATGGGGAACAGATTCTTTTTATTCTATTTTAGGCATCTTATTAATATTCGTATAGATATATTCCCCTCAGGGAGAAACACAGGCATAGCAATATCTAAGCACTTCAATTTTGTTACATTCTGCAAAAACATATATAAAGCACCTTACATTAAGTCATATAGCAAACATATTCATCTAGGCTTTTATCTTAATATTCAAACAATTATCCATGACAGAAAACAATCTCATCTGTTATTGCCAAGGATGAATCTTCTTAAGCAATTTTTGACCTATAGTATGTCATATACCCATCTTTAGCATGTCCTTATCAGCATTTGCATTTAGGGCAACATATCTGGAAGGCCTTCTCTTTTGACCTTGGTGGCTCTAACTTAGCTTTTTTATTATATTCTAAAAGCCTTGTAAGGTATTGCTTATGTAGCCAGACATTTAGAGTCTTGTGCACATGCCATCTTTCGAACACACCCCACTATCTGCTGTCACATATCTAATATACTAATCCACGGAGTAACCTAAGGTAATGGTTTGTGAATTTTTTTCATTCTTTAAAGGAATATCTGGCATTCTTTTCTGAATTGAAAATTTAAAAAAAAACATATTTTATTACAAGATAGAAAATGAGCAGACACTATCACGAATCTTAGGATCTCTGTAAAGAAATGGGGGATTTTAAAATCCACACACTCAGGGCAAACCCAAAATTCTTCTGGCGGGGGGGGGGGGGGGGCTTTATTCATCCCACCACTGCCACCAAAAATGTAAAAAGATTGGGAGAATTTATATTCTAACAATCCCAATGCTGTATCACCACTAATGTGAAAGAATTGTGGATTGTTAATTTAATTAAAAGCTGGCTCAAACGATCTTCTGGCAGGAGACCCTTTTCTTTGGTAATCTCACCGCTTTATCACCAATATGTAAAAGATTATTATATAAATTCAAGTAAGTGTCTGGAGGCTGTTGAGACTTTGCCACCAACACACTATTTTCTGAGGTAACATTCTGTGATCACTGGCTACCACCACACTTAAAAGGAAAATTTTAGCTTCTGGTTTGGCAAGAGGTTTAAGTAAGCTGAGTTGGGCTGGATTCGCACTTAGGGCTCTGTACTCCAAGGTAAATAACACTGAGATTCTTTTAAACAGTCGCTGCCACCAATCTTAAAATTCTGTTTCTCTAAACTGCTATGGAACTATTTCACATAGAGGCACTCTTGAGGCAGTTGTTTAACCAAGAACAAAGTTGTTTATTTGTGAGAACTTCAACAGTACATGCACTTAAGCTTAATGGTTGCAATAATGAGTTGGAGTGTATGGTTACTTTAAAACGAGTTCAATGCTTGGTTCGAAAAACAACTCTTCACTCCCTCAGGAAACTAGCAGACTTCTCTCTGACAAGAATTCCTAACAAACCTAGACACTCCTTTCCACTTTGGATCTGTCTATTCTCTCCACTAGCTATTCTTCCTAACAGCTAACTATCTTTACTAACTGACCAGTTCTTGGCTTGTCTGACTTCTCTTCCCCTAACACTCCCAAAATCCAACTCTCTTCTTCAACACACAAACCCTATCTCAACTTATTGTCGAAGGCTTTCATGGCTGGAATCACTAGGTTCTTGTGGGTTTTTTCGGGCTATAGAGCCATGTTCTAGAGGCATTCCTTCTAGAGAAATGCCTCTAGAACATGGCTCTATAGCCCGAAAAAACCCACAAGAACCTATCTCAACTCTTCAAACACCAGACCCCTGACTGAGCTGTCAGATTTTAAAACGCACCCTTACAGGCAATTCTTTTCTGCACTCAAGCTAAGCTCCGCCCACTCTCTCCCAGCCAATTACAAAGCTTCTCCACATTTCCCTCCAGGCTGCTCCTAAGCTCCTCCCCCTCTAGGAAATGGGTACCCTAAGATGGCTGCCTCCTTGCACCATCTCATAAAATGGCTGCTGAAATACTTAGGCCTACTTCCTGAGCTTTCCCCTGGCCTAAAAGGTAGGAAATTTATCACAACCTCATCAGATGGGTAGGGGGAAACAGAGGGAACCATCTGATTCCTCCAAAGGCACTTTGGGCTCTGTTTCTTCATGTTGCCAAAACGGAGCCACACGGAGTCCCTCTGGAAGTTGCCCTGTGGAACTCCATTTTGGCAGTGGGAAGACAGCACAGATAAGACTGCTTCAGATAAGTCTCTGTATTCTGTCATCTATACGTGTTACCAGGTTATGTGTCTTTATCTAATTAAATATTAACATTTTCATGATATACATATGAGTTGCCAACTAAACTTCACCTAGCCTACAACACAATTGCAGTCCAACAACATGTTTTGACAGTCTTTTTTAAAATTAAGGCCCTGGTCTAATTATGCTTTCTAACAAATTTTGTATTGATTTTAGTTGTCATTTACACACCTAAAATAATTTTAATGTAATATTAATCATTTTTGAGATATTTGATATAGTTGGATAGACTATTAAAATATGTTTCATTTTGTTTCCAGGGGATTCATTTACCCAGTTCAGGTTTGCTGAAGAAAAAGAATGGATTGTAGAAAACCTTTGCTCAAAGCAGGTAATGGAGAACTTTTTTTTCTTGAAAAGATTCCTTAATTCAGGGCAGGGAGTATTTTAAAGGTAATGGTTAGTCCTAATGAGAATAGCTTACCTAATCAGTAGAAATTTAGTAAAAAAAACCACTTATTTATATTCCATGGGGCTGTTAATTTAAAAGGGTGTAATCTTTTGGGGAATTAATAATAAAGTCTGTGGTTCATTTCTGCACCCTATTTACTTGTTTCTGTGTCTTTGTAAAACAGGGGTGATACTGCCAATTTCCCTTAAAGATGCAGTAGATTCTGAGTCAACCAGAAGTCAGGCAAACAGGAGTCAAAAGTAACTGGCATTTTTTAAAAGTGCAATTGTATACTACATTCACAAAGCTGTTTTATAATACAGTAAAACTTGTGTTACATTAAGTTTGTCTTTATTGTTTTAATTTGCTTTAAATTACTGTCTATATTAGTATCAAATCAATATGTTCTTTATGGTATGGTAAAGTATGGGGTGTAGTATTAGTTAGGCCTGTTTTTAATCGTAACTCTCAAGCAAACAGAAACTACATTTATTTGGCATCTATCAATCACCACGGGTTCCAGTTAACTGAGAGCTTGTTGTATTACAGAGATAATATATACAATGTGCTCTTAACTGTAGCAAAATACTTTTACAAAACCTGTTAATTAAAAATACTGAGCTATTAGCCCCACAATGAGTTTAATATTTTCATATTAATCCAAAGAAATTTTCTTCTGGGGTATAATTTGAGCCAATGTAATTGTTAGTGTGGTGTTGGATGGGCTGAGTGAATCAATGGGACATAACAGCTGAGTTATCAAGCCTGATTCATTCAGTAGGTCTACTCTAGTTGGGATTAACATTTAGATGTTCATCTTGAACTATGGCAAATTTAATCAGCTATGGATCAGTGGAAATGTGGAATCTCAGTTAAAGGACCATAATTCATGTTACACTAGCAGGAGAAATACAAGGCTTTACTTTGTGTTGCTAGTGGCATTTCAGCCAATTGAGAAACAACAAGCACATACAGCACAATCCATACCAAGTCTCATTAATTTACAATAGTTGCTCAGTGGTTTCACTGGCATGAAATCTTGGTGTGATTTCCTCAGACTGAAAAGTGAAGCAGTGATGTATTATCTCCCAAACCAAAAGATTATAATTCCAGTTAAGGTGAATTAAATATACTTTCTAATAATCCCAAAATTTACACTAAAGGGAATATACAACAGATCAGTGATATGCATATGAATTAGTACAGTGAAATCACATGCAATCAGAATCCCTGTATTAAAAATCTAAGTTGTCAGTAGTTTTACTCAACTTCCACTAAGGGTGATACTGTGGGAATTATGCACAAACACCTGTTGGATAAAACAGAAGTTAAGATATACAAGCAATGAAAATCAAGAGAGGAGAGCTGAGAAAAAGTGAAAGGAAGTTTTGGCTGGTCACTTTAAACCTGGGGTGGGTGCAGGTATTAACAACTGGAAGAAAAAGCATACACACTAGCCATTGGAGAATATTGAAATGGAAAAGAAAAGTTGAAGTCTGAAGGACAGAAAGTATGCAAAATGTCTCCTAGAAAGGGTACAAGAAAAGGAGTCTGTCATGAAGCAAAGCAAAGAGGACGAGAGGAGGGAAATAAGGCCTTTGTCATAACTACCAGTCTTAAAGTATAGATGTGCTGTCATTTCGATACTTGGGAGAATAGTCACAGTCCACTGACCAACAGAGACATTACCATCTCTGAAGCAGCTGTTTTTATATCAGCTTTCTTCCATTGAGTTCCATTGTTAACATTTCTGGCTCCAAAATCTAATTTCCACTCTATTTCTAGCACCCGTTGAGTCTGTAGAAAGACAACCACCTATGAACTTCATTAACTGGATGATGGTTTCTTGAAAAGGCATTTCCAAACAGTTTGCATCATCTCAGGACCTTTCTGTTTCAGACTTATAGTTGCTTCTCTCCCTAACTCAGCACTTGGAGGGGGTGTGGGTATGTGTCTTTGTAATGGTTAATGCAGTGCCTTGTCTTAGTGGATTTTGGAAACAAAACAGTGCTGCGTACATTAAAATATTGGATTTGACTCTTGTTCAGTGCTGTAAATGGGATTTCTGAACAAATCCTTCAATAGATTATAAGCTGCCATAATGTTCTGTCAGGAAAGGAAGAAAAGGTATTGGCAGTAGTCAAAAGTCAAAGGCATGAATCTTGGGCATTACATCTTCACAGTATCAAAGGGCTAAAGCATCTTCAAGTCTTTCAGGAAATAGAATGAGTTCCTGGAGTTTGGTTGCAGGAATTAATTCTGTAACAACCTAAGCAGTGAATGTGATGGTCACAGGAAATTAAAGAACAACCTTTTTGTGTGCCCCTAACTTTGTCATATCCTTGGCACAATGAGCCACTTTCTTTTTATGGTGGTATTCAAAATGCAGTGTTACATGTGGCCTGGGTGCATGCAGTAAGAAAAAGAGACTTGCTCTTAGGCAAAGAGTGCTCCTGGGGTTCCCTGCCCATCTCCAATTCAGGGGTTGGGCTACATGTCACTGAAATAAGACTGAATTTTTGTGGTAATATTGATCACCAAGACAGAGAAATGAGATCTTCACAGTTTGTCAACCAGTTTTCTAGAAATCTGGATAATCCACATATCACAAATCCACATATCAAATCTGGATAAAGATTTAATATGTGGATATCAGAAAGTTTGTGTGTTTCATTAAGCAAAAAAATGGAATGTAACCTGATTTCTTCTTCTGTGGACTTTGAACCGAAATGGCTAAATTATTTCTATAGCCTACAGGTAATTTCTAACTGTTGGTGACCCTAAAACAAATCTCTCATGTGCTGTTCTTGGAAAAATTTGCCCAGAGATCCTGAGACTTGAGAGAGTATGAGGATTTCCATGGCTGAGCAGGGATTCAAAACCTGGTCTCCACAAAGTCAGAGTCCAATCACTGAGTCCAGTGCTCGAATCCTTCCCACTCTGTCTCATATAAATAGACATTAAACATACTCTTTTTAGTAATATTGACAAGAGAGAAAGGTTTCCACCTTAATAGATACAACCATCTCGTTTCACCACTTTGGACTCCTTCACATAGTAAATAAGGAGTCCAAATTAGTGAAATAGGATGTTTGCAAGATGAACCTTCTATGATCATCTATTAGTTCTTGTCTTACACAATAGTAGGATTTAGGAATAATAGGTATAAAAACAATTTGTAGCCTGAGAGTATATTAAGCCTGCAGTTACATGAAGAGCTGCTCAAGTGACAGCAATTGACTGGTTGCTGAAGAAACCATAAGAACTGAAAAGATGTTATCCAACCTTAAGATCTAGTTTCAGCTTTGTTTTCAACATGGATTTCAGATTGGGCTATTGAAGAATTTGTCTGCAGAAAATTCCTTCAACTTCCTTTCATTTCCTATGCTTTGGTACACTGTTCTAAAGTCTTTGTGTGTGTCAGAAAATAATCAGTCAAATCAAGTATGCATATCAATCCAGTTTTGAGTCGAAAGATTAATAGTTTATACATATCACATACCAGAATATCAATCAAACACCTTTTGTCACAGTCTTTTGACATATTATTTGAATGAGAAGTAGATATAATTTATTCATTTCAAAATCTGATTTCTAATAATATGCCTACAAAAATGCTTTTGCATAATCTCTCTACATAAAGCTACTCAATGCTTCAAATTAGTACAGATGGTAGCAACAAAGTTTTGAGCTACAAACACGAAACTCTTTGAATCATACTAATGTCTAAATGGGCATGCAGCTGAATTTTTTATTGACCAAAGAAACGTTTTCATCTATCTGCTTGTCTTTCATAATGATTTCTCTAAAATTGATATTGTTTTAGAAAATCTGAAGAATCCTAATTATTTTATTTGTTACAAAGGATTTCAAGGTGTAGTATTAGAATTACTTCCTTTGATAACACTATGCAACACTATTTTTGTTCCTGGGTTATAAATGTGATTTCCTAATTGGTTCTGTCATAAAACATGGAAAAAAGTGGTTAAACTGCAAAGACTTTGATTTTGTGGAACATCGTGCATCACATTTTGCTATAGTTTTTGAATGAATATTTCATGCTGTCTCAACCAATTCGACATAGTTTGCAGGAGCCGCAAAACAAAGTTTTTGAAGTATAACAACTACTTTCAAAGTAAATACTACTCAATTAAATAAGAAATAACACTTTCAAACCAGGAGCAGAGCATTTGTTAAATTTTGTTACATAGTGTAACACAATTAACCTTGTTTCTTCTTCGATTGTTCCATTTGTGTTCCGGATTTAATAATACAATTAACCCCTTTCTTCCATGGGTAGCTGGTTTTCAATTTGTTTTCCATTCAGTACATTCAGTTCTGATGTGTACGGATTGGAAGGTCTCAAATGAAATGAATTAGGTACCCTTTGCCTGGTATAAAGTATTTGTTAGATCTTCATCCATGCTGATTTGATCTCATTTAGATGTTTTCCTGCTTCTCAGCTGTCTGGGCTATACGTTGACTGCCAGTCCTTGGTGAGGGCACTTGAAGAACTGCCTCTGCATCTCAAGTTGAATGTGGCTGCTGAGTTGGTGCAGGTAACAGCTAAACTCCTTACAAATATGTACCTTGAGCATGATTTTAAATTTGAGTAGCTCCATCACTTTTCAGTGTAATTGCTACGTATTTTAATATCATGCTTTTAATTGCTCAAATGTGCAAGGCAAGAGGACTATTAAATGGAGGTATTGCCATCAGCACTACTTATGCTTCATTGCGTCCTTCAGACAAAGCATTTTTCACATGCTGAGCGCATCTCAATCAAGGCCAGCATCCCCCAAGAGCTGCTTGCTCTAATTTTGTTGTTGCATATTTTACTCCTTAGCAGCATTGCAGATTAAAACAGAGAATGTTGTAAAAACAAAACTCGTGTTGCATTCATTTTCTACTTACAGCTTTTACAGATCCAGGCAAGATTCAACTCCCTGGTACTGCCTTCTACACAATGCATTTAGTTCACAGTGGGAACTGCCATGTAGACGTGTATCAAATGTCTGTTTATGCCTAGACATAAACAGTTTAGAAACTCCAGTACCAGCATGAAAACAAATATATTCTATAGATGAAAAAACAATGAAATATGCAGGCAGTAGGTTGAGAGTTAATGAATCTAATGAGTTAACCATGGCTGTTAGGTATGATTACAATTTATCAAACGCTAGAAAAATTAATCTGCATTAGAAAGGGAAGGCAGTGTGAGTACAAAAACAAGTTTGCTCCCCTTGTGTGGGATTACTTGAAGTGACTCAGACACTGCCATTGCTCATTTCTTCTTGTTCTAACTCCAAATGTATGGAGTAGAGAAATTTGCATTGTTTTGCAACTAAAATACATTCTTCACAAGTGAAATGGCAAGACTAGATGTCATCTTTATCTTACTGTTACTTGTGCTAAAGCAGTATTTTTAATGCACCATTAAATGACACATTTGGTCTTGTAATAAATTAACATATTCTTCTGCAGCACATGATTTGAAGCAGTAGCTCAGGGAACTGCAGACTAACTGGTTTGAATTTGCTTCCATTCCCTTTTTATCAGTGGTATAAAGGGACATTTACACTATAGAATTAATGTAGTTTGACGCCACTTTCAGTGCCCTGGCTCAATACTAGGGAATCCTGGGAATTCTAGTTTGGAGAGGCACCATCACTCTTTGACTAAGAAGGCTAAAGACATTGTAAAACTACAACTCCCATGATTTCATAGCATTGAGGGTGACAATTGAAGTGGTAGCAAGCTGCATTAATTCTGTAGTATATCCTAAGCAACAAATATTTTTCTATTCTCTAGAATGAATTCAGAAAACATATTAGGGGTAGCTCTGTAGGCCATACAGCGAAATGCAACAACGTAGAATCATAGGGTTGGAAGAGACAACAAGGCCGTTCATTCCAATCCCTGCCATTCAGGAACACACAATCAAAGCACCTGCAACAGATGGTCATCCAACCTCTGCTTAAAATCCTTCAGAGAAGGAAATTCTACCACACTCTAAAGAGGCAGCATATTCCACTATTGAAAAGCTCTGACTGTCAAGAAGTCTTCCCTAATGTTTAGGTGGAATCTCTTTTGATTGCTCCGAGTCCTAATCTCCAAGGTAGTAGAAAATGAAGTTTCCCCTTCTTCAATGTGACATCTTTTCAAACATTTAAACATGGCTATTATGTCGTCTCTCAGCCTTCTTTTCTCCAAGCTAAACATTCCCAGCTCCCTCAGCAGTTCCTAATAAGGTGATACTGTAGGTAACCTGGACCTAAACCATGTAGGCATTACAGGTCAAAACCGACACTTTTTACTTTGCCCAGAAACTGATTGGCAGACAGTGGAGTCACTTTAGGATAGGTGTAATATGCACACTCTTGGATGCTCCTGTAACTAATTTTGCCAGTTTGTTCACTTTCTCTGTCTGAGCTTGTCAATCTGCTTCTTGAATTGTCCAGAGGAGGGCACAGTATTCCAGGTGAGGTCTGACTAAAGCAGAATAGAGTGGGACTATGATTTCCCTCAGTTCAGACATTATACTCCTATTGATGTAGCCTAGAATTGCATTATCTTTCTTAGCTGCTGCATCACCTGTTGACTCATGTTTAGCTTGTGGTCTATTAAGGCTCCTTAATCCCTTTCACATGGACTTTTTTCAAGCCAGGTGCTACCCATCCAGTATCTGTGCATTTCATTTTTATTTCCAAAGTGTAGTACCAAACAAAGATCCTTTTATAAGACCAATTAAAATGTGCAAAATACATCATGCAAGCTTTTGGAGCCCCACTACTTTTTCATGAAAAGAAATCATAAAAAGAGAAGAAAGGGGATCACAGGCCTGCATTTTAATCAAATTGATATTTGGTTGTTGTCGGTTAAGGTGGTCTTAACACCTTGCTTGATGAAGAATCGAGTAGCACTTCAAAAGTTTGCATTTTGTATTTTGTATATTTTTGGTTGGCCCAATAAAGGTATTGCTGAATTGTGGAATGAATATTTCATATTTCAGTGGCATTGTTTTTTAAACCTCTTGTTGAATCAAATTAAAATGAAGATTAACCTGGGAGAAAGAATCAATCATTAATATTTAAATAGACTTAAGCAGTTCACTGCCCTTAAAAACAAAAGACTCCAAGGATGCCTGTCATAGATGCAGGCAAAACGTCAGGAGAGAATACTTCTAGAACTTGGCCCTACAACCCGAAAAAACTTACAACAACCCATGGTGGTGGTTGTGTGTCTTCAAGTCATTTCTGACTTATGGCAACCCCAGACGACCCTATTTATCTCTTAAATTTATATCCTGCCTTTCTTCCAAAATGGGATTCAGTGATTCATAAAAGATGCAGCTAATTACAAAAGTTAAAATAATTAAATATCAGTTATTAAATGATGTTAAAAAAAATTAAAGACCTTAAAACATAATGAAAGTATAATTTGAAACAACACACCACTTCCATCACACTTCCAAAACCTGACAAAATAAAAGAAATCTTAACCTGCCAGTGGAAAGAAAGCAGGGAGGAAGCCAAGTGGACTTCCTGTAGAAGGGAGTTCCACAGTCTGGAAGCAGCCAGAGAAGGCTCTCTCCCAAGGGCTCCCCAACTCTACCTGCAAAGGTGGTGAGACTGAGAGAAAGCCCTCCAACTAGCTTATACAAAGAAATCTGCTCTTTCAGATCGTCTGGACCTAAGTCATTTCAAGCTTTAAAAGTCAAAACCAGCACTCCAAATACTGCCTGGAAATGGAGTGATAGACAATTCAGCTGTTTCAACAGGAGAGTTACATGATCTCTGTAGTTAGTTAACAACTTGGCCATGGCATTTTTGACCCAGTGAAGTTTCCGAACAAGTGTCCAGAAGCATCCCCATGGAAAATGCATTACCGTAGTCCAAATAGGATGTAGTCAAGGCATATATCAATAGATACGACTTCTTAAGGAATGGGTGCAGTTGGCATATAAGTTTTAACTGTTTAAATGCACTCTTGGCCACAGCCAAAACCTGGACATCCAGGCTCAGACCAAATTCCAGGGTTTCAGGGTTAGTATAACCTCAGCCATCACAGGCTGAATCCCTATTCCCTGATTGGCTTTATGATTAACCAGGAGCATCTCTGTCTTGTCTAGATTGAATTTTAATATGTTCAGTTTCATCCAGCCTTTTACTGACAGTAGACGCTGGTTTAGTGCAGAAACAGCTTCCTTGGAATTGGATGGAAAAGGGAAAGAGTATTGTCTGTCATCAGCATACTAATGACACCAAACCCCAAAACTCCAGATAACATCTCCCACTGGTTTTATGTAGATTTCAGATAGCATACATGACAGAACCAAGCTCCAAGGAACACCACAAGCTAGTGACCCAGGCTATCAAACAAGGCTCTTCCAACACCACCTTGTGAGTCTGTTCCTCCAAAAAAGACTGGAGCCATTGTAAAACATTTCCCCAAGTTCCGTCCCAGAAAAGCAACCAGTGGCTGATGGTATACATCACTAAGAGGTCCAGCAGAACCAACAAAGGGACACATCCCCCCTGTCTATTTCCTATCATGTAGATTTCATAGTAAGATTGGTTTAAAATGTTTAAACAAATCATGTCCAAAGTCACCCAGTGGGTTTCCATGTCTGGGTGGATATTGTGAGTTGCCCAAACTTTTGTTGATATTCTTCCCTAGCATTCATGACTGCATAATTTTCTGTTCTCTCATGATTGTAGGAGGCAACGCCTGTCGTACTCCCCCAGATTAAGTTGAAAAGCAATGATGTTCCCAGGAGAAGTGGAGGCCCATTGCAGCAAACTCTGGGGCAAAATACAGGTCCATCCGGCCCTTTTCCTGCTGCAGACTCTGCTACCCAATTGGCAGGCCCACATAAAGATGGACCTGTAATTAATTCAGAGGGGCCCCCGAAAAACCCTTCCTCTCTATGCCAAGAAAGAGATAACTTGGATGAAGACCTTGACCTCCTCTTGAAGTTAGATGCTCCAGTTATTCCTGAAAATAATATGGGATTAGAAATATTATCGCATGATACAGTCTCTGGAGAAGATTTGAAAATGCCTCATGAGGAAAATAGTAAGTATTTTTTAGAAATATGAATTATATTCGTTAACCTTGAAATTTTGTAATAAAAAGGAACAAGTTAATTAGATGTGTTTTATTGAGTAAAAATCAAATTTCAGTATTAATTTTTGGAATAAATTTATTAATTAAGGTGCTAAGTAAAGGTAAAGGTTTCCCCTGGCATTAAGTCTAGCCGTGTCCAACTCTTTGGGGTGGTGGTCATCTCTATTTCTAAGCCGAAAAGCTGGAGACACCTCCAAGGTCATGTGGCCTTCCTGCAGAAGCAGTACCTGTTGATCTACTCACATTTACATGTTTTTAAACTGCTAGGTTGGCAGAAGCTGGAGCTAACAGCAGGAGCTCACCCTGTTTCCTGGATTCGAACTGCCAACCTTTCAATCAGCAAGTTCAGCAGCTCAGCAGTTTAACCCGATGCGCAACCACGGGCCCCCATTAAGGTGCAACATTGGTGAAAAAAATACTAAAGAGCCAACACTTCACATTTCCATAGTTCTCTTAGAATTTGCAAAAATGAATATTGTTTTTGTTTGTCTTCCAAGATTGGGGAATTACTATGTTTAGGTTACAACATCCGGGTATATTGAGTAAAGGGGAAGGGATAAGGAGATGAGATTGCAAGGCAGAGATGAGCAACGGAAAAGGGTAGAAGGCCGAATTTGCCCCTCAGAAGATCCTTGGAGTCACATCCTCCCATCGTACCTATTTGCACAAAAATAAATTTAAAACATTCTTTCAAAGTGCCTCAAACACACACTTTTGGGGACATAGGGGCATATTTACCATGGGTTTTGGTCTTCAAGTCTTTTTAGGTCCAGGATAGGCCTTTTTGACAAGAGGAAGTGAATGGAAGTGGTAGAACTCTTCAGCACATTCAGAGAACACGTTGACTTTCTGTACACAACAGAGGCATAATTGAGCTTACAGAACCAACAGAATGAAACTACCAGTGAAAACAAAGAGGACTACAACACTGAGGGACACTCTTGAGGACAGTAACTGTCAGGAGCATCTTTTTGCAGATAACGATGGTGAAGGGAGGCAAAAACAATATTAACAGCAACAAGCACTGCATGTCAGGGAAGAAACGAACTTGCTTATCAATTGCAGCAAGAAGAAAAGAAAGTTACTAGTAGGGAGGATTCATTGCTCAAGGTATTCATTGATCAGGTGTTCCAATCAGACAAGAGGAATCGAGAAGTATGCTGTTTTCCTGGTGCATGTGTCCAAGCTGTCACTGACAAATTGTCAAAGCTCATCAAAAACACAGAGCAGTACCTCTTTCGTTTGATTTGTGTGGGAACCAACAACATTGAAAAGAATAGTTTTGAGCAGATCACCTTGGACTATGAAGTTCTGGGGAGCTAAGTTAAGCGTTTAGAGATACAGGTAGTTATTCTCGCCAATTCTACCACTGAAAGTTAGAGGATCTCACAGGGTCAGAAACCTGATGTAACAGCTGGCTATGCAGATGGTGCTGAGGTTTGGCTTTTGGGACCATCAACTTCATTTCCTAAATGGACTGCTAGCTACAGATACGTATTTTTTTTTTTAGAAATACTTTTTAATATGTGTATTTATAGAATATTACCATTTTCATGTGTTTTAATTTTGCTGCAACCCGCCATGAGGAGAGGCAGGTAAAAAATAATAATAATAACAATAATAATAATAATAATAATAATAATAATAATACAGATGAGGTATACCTCACAAAAACTGGGAAGAATGTCTAGGCAGACAAGGAGAAACAAAATATCCAAGAACATGTTGAAGGAAATACTAACAGATCACAATGAAAAACAACTGCTCAATACCTATTTTGCTTCTGTGTTTTCTCAAAAAGCAGACTGTGTGCTTCCATTCAATAGGCAAAGAACTTGGTAAGGAATTTAGATTGTGAATAATAAGAGCTTAGTCAAGAATCGTCTAGACAACTTAAATGAGTGCAGATCTGCTAGGCAAGATATACTATATCCCAGAGTATTGAAGGAACTTGCTGACATACTTAAAGAACCACTTGCCATCATTTTTGAGAAATCTTAGAGAACAGGTAATGGGGATGAGTAAATATTGTCACTCTCTTCAAAACAGGCAAACAAGAAGATCCAGGAAACTATAGGCCAGTGAATACTAGGGAAAGTATTAAAACTGATTATATAGGAGTCTGTCTGCAAGCATCTTGTTGATAATATAATAATATTATTAATAAAAGTTAGCATGGGTTTGTCAAGAACAAATCATTCCAAACTAACCTTACATCATTTGATCACTAGTTTAGTAGATGATGTGAATAGTGTGCATCTTCACCTGGAAAACCGGCCTGAAATTCAACAGAGAGAAATACAAAATTCTACATTTAGACAACAAAAACAAAATGCACAGGTATAGGATGTGGAATACTTGGCCCATTTTACCTTAGACAATTGCTGATTATAAACTGAAAATGAGCTAGCAGTGTGATTCTGCAGCAAAGAAGGCAAATGTTATGTTTGCTTGCATTCATAAAATTATAGTCTCCAAGTTGAGGGAAATAATAGTCCCCTTATATTTTGTGCTGATGTGGCCTCATCTGGAATACTTTGTTCAATCCTGGATGCCTTATGTAAGAATAATATAGACAAGTTGTAATGAGTTCAAAGAATGGTAGCAAAGATAAGATGAGTGGAGAATAAAATACAGGAGAGGTTGAAGAGTTGATTTAACTTGATTAAGAGAAGACTGAAAATTGCCTCAAGGTCTACGACATTGAGTAGAGTGAGGGCTTGTTCTCTGCTGCCTTAGAAAGTAGAACTAGATCTAATGATTTTAAATTATAAGATGCTAGATTTTGATTGAGTGTTGGGACATTAGAGGACTATGTGAGGGTAGTTTGAGAATGAAAACAATTGCCTGGAGAGGTGGTAGGTCTATTTGCTGAATGTCCTCAAAAAGAGACTGCATAGCTACCTGCTGGGGTTGTCCTAGTTCAAGATTTTGCATTGAGCCGGCGGACTTACGGCCCATAGGGTCCCTTCCAATGCTTATGCATGTTTCTATTCAATGAAAGGATAGAGAACACCTTGTAAATAAAACCTGGGCTAAAATGAAGGACTGCTTGTTGACTTTGTACAGATGTAAATAGCCGTGTCCTGATTGAGAAAACATGCATCTGTCATTTTCTTGAGTACAGAAATATTTCTGAGACGTAGGTTTACTTTACTGCTATTGGTTGCTAAACTAACAAACACGAGATTTGTTGGCTATGCAGTGTTGTAGGCTGCATGAAGGAAAATGTCAGGAGGGTCAAAAGTAGACCTTTCCTTTCTACATCAGTGAAGATGTTATTTGAACTTTTCAATAAAAGAGGGATGCTTGAATGCTGGGGCCAGTACCACGGTCTGCTGGCCAAGAGGCCAGGAAACATTGCCTGAGCAAACAATCTAGCAGAATCCAGGGCAATGTCTGCCAAATGACTGGCAGTTGAAGACATTTTGTTGATTACTTGACTGCTGGTTTTGCACCTACCACTCCCCAATGGCAGCACTGAGCTCCAATTTCAGCTCATCAAGTAAAGAGAACTCCAGGAAAATAAGAACTTCCTGCAGAGACTTTGAAGGGAGTACAGACTTGAATATCTCGTATCTAAAATGTTTGGGACCAGAAGTATTTTGGATTTTTTTTCAGGTTTTTAAATACTTGTATTTGCATATATGTACATAATGAGACATCTCACCAATGGGTCTCAAGTTTAACTATGAAATTCATATGTTTCATATATACCTTATACACATATCCTGAAGGTAACTTTCTACAGTATTTTAAAAATAATTTTGTGCATAAAACAAAGTTTGTGGCCCTTGAATAATCAGAAAGCAAAGTTGTCACTATCTCTGCCATCTATGTGTACAATTTTGAAAGATTTTGGGTTTCATCATTCCTGATAAGAGGTACTTAACCTGTACAAGAGACATTTGAATTTCTCTTTAGTGTATTTTCTAAATTACATTCTACCAGTGCTGTTTAGGAAAAACATCACATCTCCTTCTACCTTGAGTGAAGAAAAGATGTTTGCTTCTGGAAGAACATCTAAATCTGAGATGAATATATTGACCTAAAGAGGTCTAGGCAGTTCTTCCTGATCATTCCAAATAACTCTAAGCCTCTTCATAGTTGTGACCAGAGACCAAAGGTCTGAGGGTGATGAAATAAACTATGGGCTTGGTGGTCATAGTCAGTCAGTCTAATACAAACAAGGAAGTAACTTGCTTTGGATTCGTTTCCTGCTTTGGATAAACTTTATACAAATTTTCCTTTCCCAAATCCAAAGGCAAAGCTGTCTTCTGTGGGGCGGTGGAAGCAGGCATGTGTTGCCCTTTCTTTTAAGTAATGGTGTGTTTGCGTGTTTGTGTGGAGCCCCCAGTGGGACAATGGGTTAAACCGCTGAGCTGCTGAACTTACTAATCGAAAGTTTGGTGATTCAAATCCAGGGAGCAGGATGAGTTCCTATTGTGAGCCTCAGCTTCTGCCAACCTAGCAGTTTGAAAACATGCAAATGTGAGTAGATAAATAGGTCTCACTTCTGCAGGAAGGTAACGGTGCTCCATACTGTCATACTGGCCACATGACCTTGGAGGCGTCTACAGACAATGCTGGCGCTTTGGCTTAGAAATGGAGATGAGCACCACCCCCCAGAGTTGGACAAGACTAGACTTAATGTCAAGGGGAAACCTTTATCACACACACATACACACATACACACACACATATTGAGAACTTTTATCTCTTCCCCTCTCTTTTTTACTTTACTTTTCTTGCTCTTCTTTTGTGTTTTAAATGTTTTTTCTTGCTCTGTTATCATTTTTTTTTATTTCTGTTGTAGTTTTGTTCAATACTATTTCATAGTGGGTTTGGTCAACAAAAGGTCTTTGTTAAGAGGCATGTATCATGTTGAGGAGAGATGCTTACATGGCTGGGCGCGACCAGAGTTTCTTTTTCCTTAGAAGAAAAACAGTGGGTTAATTCCTCTTCATCTTATTTTTAGGAAGCAGCATTTCTGTAATATAGTTGACAGACTAAAGCCTGTTCTGCAGGGGAAAAGCCTTTGAGTCACAGAGCTTCCTAAGATGTCTGTTCTAATCTTTTAACAGACTCCAGCCCCCTTCTTGATGCTACTGGCTTTGCTAATGAGATCAGCATTGGGCCAGGATATCTTGGCCCTTGGAGTAGGAGAATCCATACAGGTGAAGATGCTGAGATGATAGAAACTAGTGGTTATTACATCGCTGAAGAGTCTGTTTTGGAGAAATAAGCATGCCAGAGGCAGAAACAGGCACATTTCACAGAAACTATGAATCTGAAAGTCATAAAAAAGGAAACACCAGAAATAGTTTCCAATAAAACATTCTGGAAAAACGATGTCCTTCTGTTCTAGAAGTGGCACGGTCTCTTCCTGTTTGGGGAGAGATTTTTGATCTTGACTTCATTGGTGCTAGTCCTGGAATGCATGGCTTTCCAAGGTGTTCAAGTTATTGGATCAATCTCTGGGGAGGGTGTCATGAGAAGAATCAGTACTGAGAGAAAATCCTTAGACCAGGCTTCCCGATATCTGTTCATATATCCGCAGCACCAGATTCTCTGGTGGGGATCAGATCATCCTGAAAAGTTGAGTTGAGCTACTGCTCCAGCTGTTCCTAGATATGTCTGTTCTGACCACAGCAACACATACCTTGATTATATCCTAATGGATTACTGTAACAGAGTCTACATCAGATGGCCTTTGGAATTGGTTTGAAAACTTAAGTAGGTCCGGTAACTGCTGCCCTGGGAAGTTCTAGGGAGCACATTGCTCCCTTGTTGAAACAGCGTCACTATCAATCTGTTTCTGTGCACAATCCAAAAGGCTGCTTATGATCTGTGATGCCCTGGATGGCACAAACTGTTTGAAGGCCTGTGTCTTTCCATGTGAGGCTGTGGAAGTGTTGGCATTTTGAGAGGAGAAATTTCTCCCCATCTCATCATCCTCCCGGCTCATTGGCTGAGGATGTGAGAAAGAGCTTTGTTGTTCCTAAGTCATGGAGCTCCCTCCTAAGGGAGAGGTGGTTGCTCCCTCTTTGCTGTCTTTCCATTAGCAGGCAAAGACCTTGTTATATAAGCTGATTGTGATAGAGGGACATGCAGTACATGTGATATTTAATATATAATAAATGTTTCATGTTTTTAAATTCATATCTTAAAAGTAGTGTTTTATGGGACTTATTGTTTCATGCTTTTGTACCTCTGTACTATATATTTTAGCTATTTCATTTTAATGTACCGTATTTTCCAGTGTATAAGATTGGGTGTATAAGATGACCCCCAACTTTTCCAGTTAAAATATAGAGTTTGGGATATACTTGTCATATAAGACTATCCCTCTTCCAACACACAATAAATTAAAAATTAAAAAACATCAGATTTGATTTCAATATGGTAATTTTCCTATTACCATATCTCCTTCTCTGCCTCTCAGATTTCACACATGTGTGCCTGCGCCGCTTCACTGCAGTCCTAAGAAGCGAGATCTAAGAGGCAGAGAAGGCAGTACAGTAATAGGATGCAAGGGCAGGCCAGATGGGTGAAAGAGGCGTGTTTTTCTGGGCACAGCGCTGCTCTATCTCTTTTTTCCATACCCCGGGCATCCCGGATGCCTGCAGCTTGCCCCACCCTTCACTTACACCTTCCTGATGTGGTGCCCCCTCACCTCATCATTGGGACTGCGTTAAGTCACTTATTTCCATGAATCCTGGTGAGTGGATTTTCTTCTACTGTACTTGTACAGCACCACCCTTGTTGCTTTTATACGGTCGCTGCGCATGGCGGGGATGCAGCCGCTGCTGTTTTTGAGCTTCCCCCACCATATGCGGCAACCACAGATTCTCCAGTCTGGCTCTGAAGTTTCAACACCCACCCTATAAGACGACACCCGACGTATAAGATGACCCTTGACTTTTGAGAAGATTTTCCTGGGTTAAAAAGTAGTCTTATACGCCAGAAAATACAGTATATTGTAAGCTGATTGGAGTCCCATTTTGGGAGAATGTTAATATATATAATAAATCAAATAAATAAAATTTTGTAAAATCCTTTCTGTTAAGAAAACCATGTATTCTTTCAATTGGCCTTCTATGAGATTGTACCTTACTGCTTATAATTGAATTCTCTTGACACATAGCCAGCCACTTCTTCAAAGGCTGGGTCTTGAGAGACTCTGCCTTCTAATTGGCTCTCAGGCATGTCAGTATCAGCACATGGCAGCATGTCTTCCCATTCTGTCCCCACAGGGGTTACTGTTTCATGTTCTGTTTTATTTTGTTAGGCTGTTTACAACTGGATGGAACTGAAGAAATCTGCTCAGCATCACAGCAGGAAGGTACATCCAAAAGTATTACTGAGGAGGAGCTTGAAGACTGGTTAGACAGCATGATTTCCTAAGGCCTGTATTTTGGCTGTCGTGCAACGAACTGAAAAATAAATGAACATGACAGTAGCTAGGTATAGAATATCTGTTTGTAAATCTTTAATTAAGTAGCTGCTTCATCTGGAGTTTTAATTATGTTGCCTGTCTTGGTTTGTACTGAAATTTTGAGACAATAAATCTGGATGTATTCCAGATGAGATGAGTGTTATCAGCAGTGAATTGTATGCATCAGCATGTTTATAAAGGGATTGGAATTATTTCAAAAAATGCAAGTACTATTAAAGATGGCTTGGTTGCAAACCAGCACAGAAAGAGAGAATAATAATTTCATTTTATGTTGAATGAGACCGTATTGCTCAGAGCAGCAAATTAAAATAAGGGTATCAAACAGTGTGTTGGTGTCATTTCTTTTTATATGAAGTCAAGCTTGGTTTATGATGCAGTGATATATCACAACATTAAAATTTATTTTGTAAATTCTTTATTGCAGTGGGCACTTTTATTTGAAGGAAAACGCATAAACATAGCAACTTTACCACTAGTTGATCATAACACATTATTTGTATTTGGCCTAAAACTTAGTTTTATAAGATTGTGAGACACTATATATTTTTTAACCAGCTGATTCTTTTAAGCTGTTTTGAAACAAAGATGTAACTTATTTTCAAGTATTTCTTATAATAAGACAAGAAAGCAATACAACCAATTGTCAATCTAAAATGTCAATCTAAAAGGCCAACATTAAAAAAATCTCTTGCATAGCTATGTCTGGAAAGATTTAAGGCACTTTAATTATGGTTTTAGGGACAGTTAAGTATTTGAAAAGTTTTAAGCACTGAAGGATTACAAACTTTCTATCTGTATCATTTCACTAAGAAATGGCATGAACTGAATACGAAGCTTTTTGAAATACTGTTTAATATCACAATATATGTCCACTAATTGAGGCTTTGTCACCCAACATTCAAGTTCTTAAACTGCTAATCTTGTGCATGTTACAGAGTAGGATATAGCCCTTTCATCTACACTATTTTCTAATTTGATCAAAGTTAGGTTAAATAATTTCTGAACTAGACTACTGAACTGAAAAGGCTTTCTATGTGGTTCCAATAAGATCACTGAAATCCAGACAGTATAAGGCCTTTTTCTGCCAGGTGCAAAAACCCCAGCTAGAATCTCATGAAATTAAGCAAAGTGGTTTAGTATTTGGACAGGCTAAACATACACAAATATTAGTATTCATCCCTTAAATTGTGAGAATTGGATTTTTCTCTATTTTGTATGCTTGACGGTAGTCGCTTCCTTGTTGATGTGTTCATCCAAGTTGATCTTCATACTGTTTTCGGAAGCAATCTCCAGCTGGGAAGAAATCCCAGCATCTTTCTTGATACATTTTCCACACATATGATTCCTGAAAGTTATTGGAACATAAAATTTGCATTGGATTTAGCAAAATTTGTAACATCTAGTTCCCCAATACTGTAGCTATTCCAAGTTAACGCCAGCTTATTTTGCATTTTAGCTGTGTTCAATTAAGTGTGTGTGTGCGCACCCGTCCGGGTCTAGTTTGTTGAGCACCTTTGAGAACAGCTAATATAAAGTGGTCTATTCTTTCACTATTCACACATTCAGGCTAATACAACTGAATACCATATTATTTGTATAGTAAGAAATACAAAAGCACAGTACATACTTAGACATCTTAAATTCTACCAAAACTGCAACCTAAGAATGTGTTCAATTATCACTTGACAGCATAATTCTTAAACTCATTTCTTTTTCTCGAACTAAAGCATTAGTGGCTGGCTCAGACTCCATGTTTTCTTTTGTTGTGGTTTGTCTTGTCGTGGCTTAGCACTTCTTATGTACTCAAGTGTAATATAGAAAAGAAGAAATAAATAAGATTTAAAAAATAAATATAAGTGATGGGTGGTGGTGAATTAGGGTAAACTTCAAATTATAAATCCAGTTATCTTGATATATGTGACTATGGACAGACATTTACACACTATGATAGCTATCAGTCCTGATAACCCAGCTTCTCCCTAAGGTTCTGGAAGAAGAAAAGAATGGCAAAAAGGGGTTTGTCTACATTGGCAAAAAACTGTTTCAAACTGCATTTTTCTGGTCTATAGTGACCCTGGAGTGACCATGTCAGACCACCCAAATAATAGAGTGCTATAACTGGCTACAGATTTCCCAATGGTTCACTGTTAGAGGGTGGTCTGCATTTCCAATCCCTGGCATTACTCTCTGCTATATGCCCATGGACACATTTTTCCTTAAGCAAAGATACACTAATGTTAATATACTGATCTATTAATACACTAACATGTTCTTGTTGATGCTAGTATACTGATATGATACTGCATATGTGAACCTTATTTTTTAAAAGTAGAATTCAACTTGGAAAAGTTAAATTCCTCCTCCACTAACTCCTCCTCCTGTGGCACAGGAAAGTGATGCTGCCTAGAGAGATGGCCACATCTCTAAAGCTTTTATGCAAAACCTCACAATAAAAGGCAAGGTTTTAAAAATGCTTTAAAGGCCAAACAAATGCATTACAAATGAATCATCAGGAGTTATTGCATGTCAAGATCAGAACACCTACAAGCTGAATACATTTTTTTCATCCATGTTGACAAGGCAAAAGTGTCTTCCTTTTCCCCTTCCCTTTGCTAAAACTGATACAAAACTTTATGGCAAGCACACAGTTCTCTGGCTTTATTTTTGTTCCTAGTACTAACTGGAATAAATCCATTGAGACAATGGGATTTAGTAACGTGCTGACATATTAGCACTTCATTCTATAGGTCAATTCTAATTTGGATTCACCAACAGGATTCAAGCCCATATCTTATCCTTATTTTGCTACAGTACTGATAATGCACAGTTCAATCTAGCTATGATGTGATGTTTACCTGTCCAGTGTGCTCAGTTTCATCCTTATTAATAAGATACATCAGAAAGAACCTGCAACAAAAATAGGAATTACACATGGTGGAGACCTGTTTCTGTTTCTTAGGCAAACATATTCAAGAAGTTGAAACATTTCATGGTTCTTTTGTGTTTAATGTGTTTTTGTTTGTTCACTACTGGATTCCTCACCATCATTTCTCTTAATGCTGCAATTATTGCAGAATCTGAGGAGATATCTATCTTTGTGGCTACCCAGCTGGACTCCAAGGTTCAAGTGCTTTAACTGGCCTTCCAAATAGAGCCTTTGTTGGGCAGAGTCAGCCTGACCACAGTGGTTTGTGTATAGGTAACCTCCTAGTTAGACTACAGTTTGCCTGCACTTGAAAATGACTCAGACGTCAAGCTGGTGCAAAATGAGCAGCTAGATTGCTGACAGGAACGATCTATAGAAATAATACCAGTTCTATTAGTTACCAATATATCTCTAGCCTGATTTCAATGTGCTGATAGTAACATTTAAAGCCCTAAACAGCTTTGGACCTCAATACTTGAAAGAGCACTTCTTACTCTTTAATAGGATATATATGCTAACCTGAGAACTGAGATCTGCTAGATCGGCCCTGCTCTGTGTCCCAAAACTGGGAGCAATATATTGTGGGAGGATGTCGGACAAAGCCTTCTCAACATTGACACCCCAGTTATGGAATGACCTCCTCTTGAAGAGCCAGTTATTGCTGACTTTGGCTTCATCAAGTTAAATTGTGATTTTTATCAAAATCATTTGGATTCAGCCTAATTCAGTATTTACACATATATACTTCACTGCCCTTCTTATCTTTATAAATACAGGGTTTTTCTCTTTTGAAGCCAAAATTTTGAAAATATTGCATCCAAAGTTATATAATTATACGAATGTGCCAGTAAGTTCTATTTATGAAATTAACTGTGCTACAATCTAAGAAGAGAAAGATCAGGAATTACAAATCCAATTATGTTTCTTTTTTCTTTGAAGGTTTTTTTTTACCCCAGCCTCTTCCACTACTATAGAAGCTGCTGTGCTACTTTCCAATGGGTTACCTGTTATACTATATTTTCTAGCTATGCCTGAAAGTATGCTCATAGTCCATAGTCTTTGCCATCATATAATCATGAAACTGTACCAACTACTGTACATGGTGATGTACAGAGACGAAATTTCACAAGGCCCTAACTCGGGGGTGTCCAACTTGTGGTCCTCCAGGTATTGGGTCTCCAAATCCCAGAAGCCTGACCAGCTTGTCCAGTAGCCTGGAATTCTGAGACCTGAAGTCCAAAACACATGGATGGCCACAAGTTGGGCATCACTACCCTAACTTAAGCAGTCTGTAAAAGGATTTAAAATAGAAGAAATGCTCACATAGTTTCCACCTGCACACAGATATATCTTGTGTCTCAGATCAGTAAGGACAGAGTTGATAAATTCCAGTTGGCTCAGAGAGTAGTGGTGACTAGATTGTCTGATTGAATAACCACCACATCATAGGCCTGTTAACTTGTGGTAAGTGTGTGGTGGTGACCTTCCCCACCCCCCTCACCTGCCACATTTACTTCTATTTATCAGCTATTCCTCTTTGTTCCCCATTGACTACAGTTACAAACTGTGTTTCTGGGCCTATTGTAGGGCTTAAAATCCTGTGAGTCTACAGTCTTCCTTGCATTCCAGTTTCATACCAGAATACTGTAGTTGGGACGGTGACCTCTACTGGTGGCCCCATTGGTCAGCTCAGGAGCTTCCTCGTGAACCTCAGACATTTGCAGGGGTTATATCAGATGCAAATGCTGGTAATCAGTATTTAATTCTGGATATTGATGCACAGAATTAACTGCAAGGCTGGATTAGTTAATTTCATTACTGAAAACCCTTTATAAAATATGTTTGCATTATCAAAACATAATGTGCATATACTTACAGATAGTTGGCCAGGTTGTGCTCTTGTAAAGTATGCATTTCAAATCCATGAGGAGTTGTGTCAAAATAGTCGTTACCAATTCCACAAATAAAACATTTGGTCTAAAAATAAAGAGGTTTAAGTCAACACTATGAATGAACTGAAATATATTAGTAGCAGTTGTTACTGCATCTTCTAACACAGGGGTCTCCAAGCTAAGGCCCAGGGGCCAGATACAGCCCTCCAAGGTCATTTACCCGGCTCTCGCTCAGGGTCAACCTAAGTCTGAGATGACTTGAAAGCACACAATAACAACAACAATCGTATCTCATCAGCCAAAAGCAGGCCCACACTTCCCCATTGAAATACTAATAAGATTATATTTGTTAAAATTGTTCTTCATTTTAATTACTGCATTGTTTTAAAGTGTTTTTTGCACTACAAATAAGAGCTGTGCCATGTGCATGGGAATGCATTCATGTTTTTTTTCTTCAAATTATAATCTGACCCTCCAACAGTTTGAGGGACTGTGATCTCTGTT